TTATAAAAATTAATATTTATATAAATGATTTTAATTGATTAATTAATTAATTTAAAATTAATCTTTATAATTTTTTATATAAATTAATTAAAAAGTTAAGTTACTTGAAAGGTTTAAAAATGTGATAATAACATTTTGATACCCACAAGGTTCGAACACGCGTTCCCATTGTGATGGGTGAAGTGACAAACCAGTCCAGCCACTACACTTACCTTGATAGATCATCACACCATATTATATTTATTCATATAGGGTTAAATTGACGGTTTGAACGGTTAAATCGGTTAAATCGATCAAACCGAGAACCGAAGGTCAAAACTATTTGACCTACGGGTCGGTTTTCAAAACATTGATGCTAGCACATGTCGATATGTTATTGATAGAACCGGTTCGTTCGAGTGACCCTGCTAGTGGGGGTTATACACCAGCAAATAGTGTAGCCTGCCAATGGGAAGTTTATAACACTGGCCATGACCTATAAAGGAGACGTTTATTTCGTTCTCGTACTGTATCTGTTTTTCGTGATTACACTTGTTGGCATGCTATAAGTTTAAATAAGGGTTATCCATATTTACTTACTGAGTTATCTCATAATTTTTCCTTGTCCACTATTTTAGGAAGCGAAGTCAAGGATGGGGAAAAACAAAGGGAGTGACGAGTTAAAAGGCTGGCCATCTTGTAAATTGAGCATAGACTATAGATATAAATCATGATCTTGTAAACTATACTTTATTTGGAGATTTTATGATATTAGAGCAAATTCTATAATTTTATCTTCAGATTTTGTGGTATCAGATGTGATATGATTAAGTTTCGAGCCTTGTGCATTTGTGGGACCTTCTCACGAGTGTACGATGTTTGCCATGTCTCCGGATTCGAATTCTGGGGCGTGACACCCAGAAAATAAAAGGGCAAAATCAAGCCTACAAACCTGTAGAAATATTCGTTCATGCCCTAGGAATGTTGGTTTCATGTAGGTTGTTAAAAACAACACAGTTTTTAGTCATTTAGATTTGTGGCTCTTACTTGAAAATTTCAAGGCTAAATTCATGAATCTATGGACGAAATCAAAGCATGAATTTGAGTGGTTAAACACAAAATTTTTTGCAAAATTCTAAGTAGAATTAGAGGAAGGGAATAGACTAACATGCAATGTTTTGAAAATTGAACTGGAGGTCAAACCATTTTGATTTTCGGTTTTCAATTTAATTGGTTTAACTGGTTAGATTATATAAACTGTCGAGTCAATTGAATATGAATAAACATAATATTATGTTAGAATTTGACACAAGGTAGTGGTTCTTCTGGTCCGTCATCTTGTATTTGGCGGAGAAGACACAAGTTCGAGGTTGGAGTCCTCTGATGCTAAAAATGTAATTATTTTGTTTTTAACTCCTAATTTATAATATGTTAGTGGATTTTCTTTCACATAGAAGGTACATCAAATATAATTTTTTAAATTATTTTATAAAAATGTTAAAAATTAACTTTAAATTAATTACAATCAATTAAAATAATTTATGTAAAT